CGGCTATCGTAAGTGTTATCGAGATCGCATAGTTCACAGTCATTGGGAATCTAATGCATTATTGTGGCAACAGAAATTGATATCAAAATTAAATTTTTCAAGACTACGTGCGCAATACATCTTCGAGATCAATAAAATTAATAAATATAATAATGATAATAAAATATGAGTCATAACAATTCCCACTTCGCAAAACGTTTCTATAATTCAAATCGTACTCCGTTGGAATAAATTTACCGATTAAACACGCAATCGTGAGTTTGTAAACCTCGGGAGAGATGGGATTTACGTTTTGAATTGCCGGCTTAGAAATTATATAGTTATCACCCAGTTTTGCCCAAGCAGTTTCTGTCAAGTGACAAGGATAATGAACGACCTTTGAGGGACCATACCCGCTGTTCCGTCTATTACCATGGTAATACCGTCGGCCTTCGTCTGCCGTGAGCAGCTGGGCGAAAGGGCTCTTCGGACACGACGACGCACGGTTTAAACGAAAATTATTAGATATCTGCGATAGCCGACCACATACCATAGACTGCGGAGACGACCGTTTATAGCGAGCCGGTCCGCGTGTGTTGGATGCGAGATATAGCCCCGATCTACGTGGCTACTGATCGGATCGATGAAATCAAGCGGCGCCGACTTCATTAAAATTTAACGTCGTGTAAAGTGTGCGCTAAGTGGATCTCTTCGTTCGGCTGTCGTCCGCTGCACCTGCAACCACGATTTTCCGTGGGTTACCATAACTTCAGCCGCTCGCGACACCTCACATTTTTGGCGTGTCCCGGATCCCGGCGATATCACGTGTCCTTCAAGCAAAAAATTATTTCTGAAATTTTGACTTTCCACGAATAAAGAAATCTAAATTGTTGAAAAAACGAGAGACGTTAAATTTAGCATCAGAACAAATATAAATGTCTTAGGCTTCTAACGTAGATTTATCTTATGTGTTTTCGTTCTATCTCGATAATTTCTCTCGCATATTTAGCTTAGAAAAATTTTTAAATCGTAGATGAAGAGCACTTTATTAAACTACAGCGCGCGAGTGCAAGTAATTAATATATAATTGAAATGCAATTAAATATAGTTAAATATATGATATGCACATAATTATATATCATCGATGATAGATATTACTCGCCGATCTATTAATCTATTTTTTATTAATCATTTTAAGTTTATGATCAACATTTGTATTTAATAAATATACTGTGTCATACAATTACTTGTTAATTCACATCGGTTATACGATAACTTTATCAGATATAATGATTTATATGTACATATATAATATTATTTACATGCCTGGAGCGAATATATGCAAGTTTAACATGAAATAGTATCACTTTACTCGTGCGTATTTTTTCATATCATTGATACAGAATAAAATATTTCGTTTTATTTCACATTCATATTAGAAAGGATGCAATTCTTGTTCTAATAAAAATATAAAATCTTTAGAAATTAAAATTTGATGAAAAATAATTCGACAAAAATACAGCCAGTATATAAAACCAAGTGAAGAGAAATATACCAATTATAACATAAGAAATATATTTGCTTTTTGCCCAGGACAGCTTACGAAAAAATTCCTAAAATAATATTGAGATGAGAGTGGTTATCCAATGGCTATCTGTAATAATAGCCGTTGAATAGCCGCCAACCTCTGAATAATCGAACAAAAAGCGCAGCATTCGTGAGTGAATGCTGTGGCAACAGTAGAATCCCAAAGGATCTGGAGGGAGGAAAACTGAGAGAGCGCCCGAAAGCCGCCCAAGTACGTCTTTGTTTACCCCAAGCTATCTCTCCGTTTTCGTCTTTTCTTCGATTCTCCTCGCTCACTTTCGATTCCTCTTCACGACGTGTCTCTGCTCCTTCGTTTTTCCCGAGTATCGCCAGTCCTTATCTCCTTCGAATCGCCTTGCGATCCCCGGCAGGACTTCTTTTATCCCGATACGATATCGCGTTCGTCCCTCCCCCTCCCCCTCCACGTTCCATCGTTTAAACAAACTCCCCTGTAATCGAGACTGAATCGATGGATTAAGAATCCAATTGGGATTCTTTTTCTCTTTCTTCCCGCTCTTATCTAACATCTGTCTCTCTCTTATATTTTACTCCACGCACCGTAAAATCCCTTCGAACCTCCGTAGTCCTTGCAACGAGACGTGTACCGCCGTCTGGAAAAGATCCCGGTATCCGCATCTGGGAAAAATCGCGTAGGACGGATTTTTTTTTCCGAAATACGTTTTCACCAATGCAACATCGATGCTCGCGATGGGATATCTATAGCGATAGAAGTAAAAGCAGCAACAGCAGCAGTAGCAATGGCAGCGGCAGCAGCAGTAGCAGCAGCAACAAAGCTTGCTTTATTTTTACTATCCCTCCGGCCAAGTACCGCCCCGTATTTCCTCGGGATATTGACATATCGGGGGTGCCGGGGCTTCTCCTCTTAACGCCCTTTTTACACTGGCTCGGAATTTATGTCTTCTTCCTTCTCTACTCTCGTTCCGCCCTCCACTCTCTTTGCCCAGCATCCTCATCTTCTCCGCCTCTCCGTCTCACTCTCCCTCCCCCCCCTCCCCCGTGCCGCGCTCCCCTCTTTCTTCCTCGTCTTACTCTTCGTTGACGGTGACGATTCCTTTTCTCCCACGCATCCCCCCAATTCTCTCGTTCTCCTCTCGCGTTTCTCGGACAATCAATCACGCACGCGTATCTCCACGTTTACAGAATCAACCGGAAATCTCTATTAGAAGCTGAATCGCAGCGGCCTCTTTTCACGGTGTCCTCGATCGATCCGATCGTAAAATGATGTAGACGTAGTCGTTATTAGCAAAGATTCATTCGTCGAGCACTTCCTTCGAATGGGAACGCCATTTGGATGGAAAATCACGGATTAGGAATTCTAAGATACGGATGATTCAAATTTTTTTCATGGCAGTCAAATTAAAGAGGGGTAAAAATATATAATCTCAGACATGAAATAAAAAACTCATGGTGCTTAGTTATTTGCTTGCTTGAAATTCTGATTGTTATTCTCTAGGCCCGATTTTTCATTTCCTAGTTAACTTGTAGTTTAAATCATTTAACCTAGAGATAATCTAAAGATTGATCTAAAGATAATTTTCTATCTATGGTTAATCATTAAACTGCTGATTACTTTTTAAAGTTATTAAAAAACTATCAGTTTGGTAATTAATTATAAATAGAAAAACACAATTTTTTTACATTATCATCAGATTAAGCTTAGACTTAATCATAAATTAATCAAAAAAATGAAAGACTGAGCCTTACTTTATTGTATTTTATTTGACAAAAAAAGTCTTTAAATCCGCAGTTTTTAAATTAATTTTTAAAATACAAATAGAGATTATTCTATAACGTCACGATGAAAAATTGGTCAGGTAAAACATGCAGTGACATCTATTCAATCTCGAGATGTTAAAGACTTTTACCAAGGTCGAATTCCGCAGAGTCAGCTAACATGACGCGACGTTCACTAACTTTTTGCGCAATCGAGCGAGAACTTCTCTCCCCCTTTTCCTCTCTCCATGCTGCATGCAGTTTGGTGGGCAGAGGGAACCTTTATACTATATTAATAACCGTGTTTTTATCGGTTCATTGAGCACGTTCGAAAAATCGTCGGATGGGAAAAACGACGATGATAAAACGAAGGACGCAATCCGGTCCGCAGACGTGAAAAATAATGAAAAATAATGAACAACCCCTTATTAAGGAGGTTGTATCCTCTCTTTGTCCTCCCCTCTCTCTCTCTCTCTCTCTCTCTCTCTCTCTCTCTCTCTCGTTTTTTATTGCATTTCTATTTATTGGTACCATGGGACATATGGCTGCGTAAGGGTTTGTCGTGAAAAAAGCGTATGATAGTGCGCCACGAGGGGAATGCGAAGGGTGAGAGAGAACGAGGGAAGCGCGAAAGAGCCACGAACACGGCGGCGAAAAACGCAATATCGTGCCGGGAATGTCAAGCAGAATGAAAGCAGATCGAGTGGACGTTCAAAATCGTCCGACAAAGCTCGCAGACCGTTCACCCAGGATTGAGAGTCTTCCAGTATGTAGCTTCGATTGCTGAAAAGCACGCGACTGCACCTCGTTACGGGCATTCGGTTACAAGGATCGCAGCTAGCTACCGTGGCCGATTATAGGTCAACTTTATTTGATATCGATGAATATACGTTTACGTCAGTTAAACGATTCATTGACGCGCGATGTATTTGGTCATTCTCATATCCTCGCTATTTACATATCGAGTATGTAACTTCGATATACACAATCCTAGGATCAATAAAGAGCCCGCGTGCAGGTTAATCCCGATGCAATCGAGGGATATTGGGAACATTATTGACAGTACAATGCCATTATCTTCATACGATATTCGCGATGTCGGTCAAGACTTAAATTTAATATAGGAGTTTGAATATAGTTTTGATCTAATAATGTAAAAATAATAAAAGAACTCCAATTTTTACGCGAAATAATATTAACGAAAAATTCATATCACCGATAATTAAAATTCCAGCGCAGTGATTAAAAACTTGAGATCAATAGCTCATAAAATTTTCCAGGCCATTATAAATATCTCGAAAGTTATCGAGAATATTAAAACATTTACTTTAAATTGGTTTTATACGTAAAAATTCTATCCTTTGCCTGTTTTATCTATCAAGATATTTTTCCAGATATATAATATTTTCACTTAAAAAATATACATATAATTTTTTCAAACATGTACCTCAGCGTGACATATTACTTGCGTTTTCATTGCAATCTAATTATTATCTTCCATATTTAAATAACTTGATTAATTAACATGTACTCATAGAACATAAACATACGTTTTTATTGCACAATCTAACATTGTCTTTAAAATATATTTAAATAATTTTATTAATCAACGTGTACTCATAGAACATAAAATATGTAAATGTAGATCAAAATGACTTCATGAACCATCTGCTTCATAAGTGCACGTATTTTTTTTTTAGGTCAAGTTGACCTCTGGACACAGAGCACCACCGGCTGCGCCTGCAGCTTCAACTCATCCAGCAACGATTGCGCTTGTTGCGTACCATCGGGAGGCTGCAGTTGCGGCGCAGCTTCGCCCGATAGATGCGCTCAGTGCGGCCTGGAGCAGCATTGCGCAAATAGTAAGTATCACTAGGTTAATCCTAACTTACGAGATTGGCTTCCTTGAAATTATAACATTCGCCGGAACGTAATCTTTTACTGCAAATGAAAATTTCTTCGTGTAACTATACTCGATGCAGACTTTAATTAAAACTATCACAACCAAACGGCGCATCGTACGCTTTAGCGGTAGAGGTACGTCTCTCCCGCGCGTTTTAATCCGAATGCGCATAGAGTAACGGCATGTAAACGTAAAGCTTATTAATCTCGGTGAGCGGAAAGTTCTTTCCTCATTGTCTCCTTCGCGTTCTCTTTCCGTCCGCCGACGATCGACTAACTGACATATTTGCTCCCTCGGTTCTGCGAGGAAATATAATTACATCGCGTCAAAAAGACGATCTCGCTCTTTGAGTCTGATATGCTGGCGCTAGAAACAAGATTCGAGCCATTAAGCCACTTGCTGTGCACCGCCTCTCGTTTGCAGCCGCTCGTGTCGCGCGAACAAGTGGAAATTAAAGTGCCGCGGCGAGCAAGTCCCTTTGGAAGCGGGCACGTGGGATGGTGCGGAAGAAACGCGGAGAGGCGTGATTCAAAGAGAGACGAAGAAGGGAGGAGAAAGGGAACGTTTATAAGAGGATGAGCGCTCAAAAGACATCGAGATATCTGAGGAAAAAGAAGGCGTGATTCCGACCTCGAACGACGTTCGCGGCTCGCTTTACACGACGGAATAAATCGTATCGAAGAAATTACTCCCGCGTGCCGTCCATTCGGCCTTTCTTTCTTGTAACTAATCACTCTTGACGAAGTTCTTATACTCCATCCATCTAATCTTTCTTTGCGCTAATTACTTGGAGCGATATTGCCTTCGTGTTTCATCCATCAAATTCTTCTCTTCTCGGATTTCTTTTAGCATCGCAGGATGTGTATATATATATATATATATATATATCAGCGCATATATGTACAGCTAATCGTATTCTGGCTAGAAAGGTTTCAAGTTACTTTATCGTGCACAAGTTTGAAGGATTGTGTAAAATGTAAATGAAATCCTTTTAGGCAAAGGCAATATTGAAAACTGATATTTTTTATATAATTTAGAAAAACAATGTAAATCTTGTACAATAAGAACTTTTTATTTAAAAAAAAAATAAAAAACGCACGATAAAATAGAAATCAACAAATTTAAAACTGTTATTAAGATTTATATATTTTTAATAAATTTTAGACTTTTATGCAAGAGAATCGTAAATATTATTGATAACGAAAAATAATGTTAAGCTTCATATCAGATATTATCGATAATGAAAAATAATATTAGCTTCATATTAAAAGAAAATATAATTTCTGAGAAATATAATATCACGGTTTACAAGACAGTATTCGCATCACAATCACTAAACATCTTGCGCAATGTCCCGCGGGAAGCAATTAAGAATCAAATTACACACTATGGCAGATTGCCTCATAATATTGCGCCGAGCTGTCGCGACTCGTCGTCGCCCGAACAACATGGCGAACAACACGGGACACGCCAATGAAACTGTATGAGTAAGAAAAATCGTTATTAGCCGCACACTTCATTTTTCTTTGTGCCGTTTCATCGCCGCACATTGTTATACGATTTAGATTTCGCCAGACGAGAACGTGAAATAAAAACCCAAATAAAATAAAGTAAAAATATTTTCAGCGATTATATTATGATTATATCGTACGTAATATTTGTATTTTGTATAAAGCTAAAAATTGAGAAAGAAATATTTATCGACAGTAATGCAATATTAAAATCACATGGAATACTGGAAAGCTGGCGAATTTGCGAGCATATCGCCATTCGATTTTCCGTACTTTTACACGAACACGTTTTGTTCCGTTTCAGTGTGCAACATAACGTTGGACAGCAGGCAGCTGTTCAGCAAATCGGATCGTGGCTTCGGGCAAATAAAGTCGCCGTATCTTCAAGGGCCCTCGAGGTGTACATACAGATTCGTGCCGGATACTGGGCAGCGAGTTGAGCTGCAGATATATCGACTGGTGTCCATCGGTCGACACAACGGCACCGCGTAAGTAGCTTTTCGGTGACGCCTTTCTTTCTATCCGGTCGTATCGCTTAATAGCGCCCTTTTTGCGCCCTTGCGCCCCTTTATAGCCGCGATCGTAAACTTTACGGGAAAGTATTTCCGACACCTATATAGTACCTATATATATATATAGTGCTTACCCGACACATACGCTTGTAAACTTACAACTCTTCACGAGCTCAAGTAATTTTGAATACGTAATAAAGCGTGTGGAGAATATTAAGAAAATGGCCTATTGGGGGGGGTCCATGTGAATATTTTGTATTGTCCAAGAGATACTTTCTGATAATTTTACGATTTTTTTTTATGATTAATTGTGAATATCTAGATAAAGATGAAGAATATGAAAACTCTCAAAATATTTTAAATGCGTTTATCGGCGAATAACTTATAATCTTTCCACAAAGTAACCACCATTCATGAAACCCTCGTCCTCACTTTTCTCGTTCGTATAAGTAGTAGAAGAGCGGACAACGTAGACCGATATGATTGAAAATCGCTCTCGTCGATGGTCGTTTCAATTTATCATACTTCCGGTCTTACGAGACGATAGCTGGGCTCTCAAGCCCCTCTCGACTATGGAGAGAAGGAGGAGCTGAGAAGTCAGGAGTAATGCCGGCGGAACTACGAGAGAACCAGGGGGTTGGGGAGAAAAATTACTGTTTTCAGAAAGCCCTCCGGCATCCCTAACCCCGCCACACACTAGCTCGTCCACTCCGACCACGTTCATGGACAAACTTCGTGGTGGGCAGAAAAGGCCTTCGACAAGCTCTGGAAAAGTTCTTACAATTTTTCGACAAGGCTCTTCACCTCAACCCCCGCGTTCTTCTTTCCCTCAATGTGCCACGACTAGCAAAGTCCGGGAAGCTTACGATGCGCCGAGCATCATACAAGCTTAGTCTAGTGGCTTTTGTTCCGGAATACGCAAAACGCGCGACCATACATATCCACGGGGGCGGATGTATGCTTATGGTGCACGAGTGGTGGCACGGATGAAAAATATACGCCCGTATTTTCGTTATTGTTATCTTCCTTGAGAGAAAATATATTTTCCGAAAAAATTTTTAGACAATCCTCTCGTCACATTTTAAAAATAACTTGTGTCGATTAAACTTCATAAATCACCTGTAATTAATATTCATATAAATATTTTTTACAATATAGATTAATATACAGCTAATAAATATTTAACTTGCAGAAATAAAAATGTTATTAATTTAATCCTTACGCTTCATAACATTAATATATTTTATAAATTAAAGGATTTAAAATATTTGAAATTAATTTTTAATAATCATGAAACATTTTGAAATTTTTCATACTTTTGGAAATGTTTGAGTGTGCACGATTACAACAACAATTTTAAATATTTCTCGATACTTAATTATTCAATAAAATATAAATCTGCACAATTCTTACACTATACGTACTTTCAAACAGCCAGACTCTAAACGACATCATCCGCTAGAAGCTAAGAGCGCTGCGTTAAATGCACATAAAAAATGCAGAAGCCCACACTTTAAGTCCACTTGTTAGCGAGGAAACGGCCGGTAAGCTGAGGGCGAAAAATATCGTTACTCTTGCCTGGGTGGCCCAGACCGTTCGCGTTTCTTTCATTCTCCTGAGCTCTGAGAAACTGCAACGACCGGAAGAAGCAGCACCGCCCACACGAACCGTATCGCGCAAATCCTCCTACACGGAAAAATATTGGCGCTTGATCGGCTTTATCGTGAAAAATCCTGCGAAATTTTAGTATTATTCCCAAGTGGAATCCTCGGGGAATTTTGCGGGTCATTTGCGATGTTCCTTAAAAATCAATGTGAGAAACATCACGTGAAAATATACGAAATAGTGAACTGAAGACATTCAAATAAGCATCCGATAGTTTCAAATTTCATATCGCGCCGAATTGTCTTTGTACATATATTCCAAAATAAAATTGTAGTTGAAATTGACGAGCGACGCGCGACAAAAGTATATTTACGTATATACGTGTTAAATTTATTTAAAAAAATGTATATTTGAGATACGTATAATTTGTAGAACTATATAACATGATAATAATATTTAAATGAGTATTTTGCCGCAAATTTAATAAACATTTTGTTTGTTAAATCGCGCGCACACTCTTCGTGAGTATTCAACGTGAGTATTCACGTTTGCGAATGAGATTGAAATAGCCGGCTTTCGTAGTTTACGTAACGCATGACGCTGAATTAATATCACACCGGACCGTAGGACGGAGTTGGTGGAAATATGACAAACGACACATGTTACATGCGCGGTCGTGTAATACGTGTGTAGTTCATGCTCGTTAAGTTATAATTAATGTAACTTTCCGAGCCTCTCTATGTAGGACGCCATCATAACAGGTTCCTTGCGTTGTTCCGCATCACGTTTATCACATCCTTCAAAGAGCAAATGGCTGATTACCGATTATGCTATTACACATACAGATTATTTTCTGTATTAAATTCACCGGGGTTCCTCTTTAGGAGACCAACGGAGAATTTCCTTCCTTTTCCATTATCTTAAGCTGAATTAAAGCTTTTCATTAAGTATCTGTCTAAAGCAGTCGTCGCATTTTACATATATATTTATGCTTTGCACAAACTGTTGTTCGTTTATATTGTCCCGTCCTCTTCTCGGACAGATGCTGTTTCACGTACGCGCAAATCTATCTTACCGTTGTCCCATACAGTCCCGACCTTCCCCGAGCATAGAAGCTTGATAATAGAACCCGAATTTCGAGGAATAGAACAAAGCGCGGGCCACTCGAGTGTCCCGTGTTCCAGACCGAAAACCGAAAGATGTAGGTCCTCCTAATCCCGAATGCCGAGCCACGGTCAGCCGCGATGTACGTGCACGTTCTCGATGAGACGCAATTGGGTCAGGTCCTCGGCTGGACATGCACTTCATTCCACGAACGTCCCTCGAATGACCCGTACGGCGTGATTTCAGGCCCGATTAAGTGATATACCCGCTATAGTCGGTCAGAGGTATTCTCGAACGAAAATCGGAAACGACGAGTAAGATCGCTCGTTCCCCGCAGAGCTGTGCACTGTACCAATTAAAATATTCCGCTCTGCGAAATACTAGTTTGTTAGCGAGATATTTTAAAATGTAGCAAGGAAACTCTGTTGATAAAATATAGTTTGACATTGTTCATTAATATCGCATATATTATTTAATAGACGGATGAAATATTTGGAATATATTATTTCTTTTTTTATCAAAACATTAGAATAATGGATTCACTAGAACATTAAATTGCATGAAACCTAGCGAGCTTAATGCCGCAGACATAATTCTCTCCAGTCCTCGAAAATTGATTTGCGCGAAAATAGAGCGCGTACACTAAATCCGCAGAGATATCGCTCCGGACGCACTCAAATTAACCGTGCGGAATTAATTTACGGGCTTTATTGAACGCTATACAAATTTCATACTTTCCCACTCATAAACTTTCGACTGTACGTATTCTCGAAAATTAGTTTTGTGCAATACAACCGGCATATGGATGCATACATTCGCGTTGTCCGAGGGATCGCGCAAATTAACCACGGAATACATCATCAATGTTCCAGAAATTATTTACCCGCTGAATGCTTATGTCGTCTTTATATTTTCCTCGTTTCAATAATATGTATAAACGTGTCTCCATATACATCTACCTATCCATTCATAAAGTTAATTAATTCGCAATAATGAACGGGCGAATGCCCGTAAAGGAAATAATGCTATTTGAGAGAAACCAAATAAATTGAACATTAATTTGTGAAATTGAATGATTGAATGACCAAACAGGGCAGATAGAGGATGGATTAATTTAGATAGACGCGGATATATTTATTCAATCCGCACGAGACGCACATAGGTAGCCGCGCATAGGCGGACTATAAAGTAATAAGCCGGCTAATGAAGGTCCAATGTATGAGGAACTCGCATTTCGTCGAAAATCCCGTTCCCACCACTCTGATGGACGATGAAAAATATGTGAAGTTAATTAAAAAATATCTCATGAATAACGCACGAATTATCTCGCATAAAGTAACTCATTATCCGCGCACGTCTCTCTCTCTCTCTCATGAGAGACGTTAACCTGCAGAATGCTGAAAAATTGCCTTCGCCGCGGCGCGCCGGTGTACACACCGTCCCGTAATTAATTCATCGCGATATCACGCGAGGAGAGGAGAGAACTCTCGCATTACCCATGAGGTACCTCGCGAATATTCTAACCGGCTTGTTGACGGATGCGCATGCGACGCAGCCCAGGAAGAAGAGCGTGGATTTCGTTCGTCAGTTTGGAAAGCACCGAGGAAACGCCGCTTCCACCCTCTCTCTCGCTGTGCACATATCTCTCCCCTCCTCCCCACCCCTCTCCCTCCTCTCATCCTTACACTTCACTCTCCCGTCTTGTCGGTCCGTCCGCGTACATGCGGTCCCAACGACGAGGGTGTGAGCGACAAAATTACGTCGCTCAGCGAAATACTATTAAGTGGGGGTAGCGGAATAGAATGAGTCCCGCGGGTGATGGATGACCTTAATTTCGCTATGATTACCGGCGGCTCGGGAATTTGTATGAAAATCGCTCGGGGTCGCTTCTTTCACACGATCCTCTTTAGCGCCTTCGATCACTCTCCTCGACTTCTTCTCGCCGTATCCTCCCCATCCCCCTCCCGTTTCCCGCGTCTCTCGTTTTTTCGTTCTTTCTTTCTCCCGCAACTGCCGTCAGATTAATACCCCTTCGTTCTAATTTCGTGTAGACATCTTCCATAGAATCGTACGCGCCTTTCAGAAATGAGAAATTACATCGATATTTAATAACGTAGATTAACAGTTCTGTTAGCAGCTTGTTAAAGCGTGACAGCGATCGAAAGATTAAGAATGAAGAAAAGAAGAAAGAAGAATATCTCTCCATCGGGGAAATATCAGGGGAGGAAAATGGGATAAGCTTCTGAAGTTTGTTATCTATAAAACCA